CATGTGCCTTCAGTCTTTTCACGCCCACTGCATTCGCTCGAAGTGTTTAATGCAAATTAATGCATTGTGAGCGGGTAAATCCAGCGGTGGCGGTGGTGGGATTTTCAGGTTTCCAACAACTTTGAAGGTCCTCCTCGTTTTGGGAAACGAAAACAATCTTTCTGATTCTAACACACTCGAACGCGACACTTCCTTTAACTGACATTTATATTATATTTATACGAAAAATAGTAAACCCAAAACGGAAAAACGGAACGAATTGATCTACTCCGCGTCGAAAATCTTTTAAAACTAAAATTCCGTTGACCCTTCCTCCTTCATTCATTTTGGCGTAATTTCCACTAAAACATATATAAATTAATCTAATTAGAAAAATCTATACTTTGCGCTTTGGCGCAATTTCATTAAAACATATATAATATACAAGTACTTTCCAATTAAAACACCTCCATATCTTGTCAATACACATGTATTAACTTATGTGGTCGTTTTGGGATTTCCCATTAAAACATATATTAAAGGTTAGGCACTTGCATATATGGTAATATATATATATATATATATTAGCTTTTCCCTTCATTTTGTCTCATATATATTTTCTTTTATTAGCATTATTTTCTCATTTAACACTCAAAATGCTCAATTCTGTTATTTTTGCGCAGGTAAAATGCGTGAAATCAGAGAACTTAAAACAACGAGAAGGTGCAGGTCTGACAGCGAACAATTTGTAGGAATTTATCAAGGAGTTCACCACAATGCACGAGAACAAAAATAACATTTTCTGCTTTTATAACAGCGGTGAATCTGTAAACATACGCTCTCTTAACATAACAAACGGCGAATATTGAAGAGAATATAATGTGTATGCCAAACTGGGAATATTGATCTATATATATTCCTTTATTGAACTATTATTTATTATTATTTTTAAATTATTTTATGTTAATTCATTTTTACTTTCTTGTGAGTTATTATTAATTTAACATATTTTGATATATTTCTTAAAATAATTCAAGGCTTAACACCATTATGAAGTTCAAAAGCAGAATTGTTTTGCCGTCGGCATTTTCATATCATGTGTAAAAATATTTGTAAATTTGTCTATAAACAACATATGTATGTAGATATGAACACTCATTACTTCATGTGGATCCCTTGAACGGTCAACCAATGATCGAAGCTCACGTTCTTTGCTTTTATGTCAAAGAGTCAATCTGTGAAGGACTGACGCGACGACAAAGCGTCACAACATTGTGTTGTTGGTAGAAAATCCGAGATGTGCGAAAATAACGAACGTCCGATTGTCATCGCTTCCTTGCCGCTCTAACAAGCTTTGCCTACAAATCATTGTAGGTATGTATGTTTTATATGAACATGCATACATATTGACGAAGATTTTTCGAGCCACGGAAAAATATTTTAAAATTGAAATATTTGAAATCGCAAAAGCTTTGTTGCCACTTTTTTCATTGATTTCTGTATTTTCTGTGTTTGCAGGGTTGTCACTTTCCTTCTAGAGGAACATCAGAAAGATGTTCAATTTATGATTTTTACTTTTGCCATTGTCGCGAAAAGACGCTTGTGGGCAAACGCATGCCCGGGAAGATGTGTTGCTTTTATGAATGAAACGACTTAAGTAGCTTATTGATTGTGCGCCAGCGTTCATTAATGAAAATGTTGTTGGTGTGATTTACTACAAATTTAGGATTTGTCCATTTGGCTGCATATTGATTTCTGGTGCTGATGCTATTTGAGACAATTGTTGCTTTTGTACAAAATGTTTGTATTTTGCCTATTGGCTGACGTACTTAATTTGTACGCTTAAATGTATGTAGATTTGTGTATGCATTTCATTATTTTGCGCGGTCGTACGCATATTTGTACATACATACTTACATATAGAGCAGTGCGCTCACATGTTTTCAGTGATAATTGATAATATATTATTACAAGTATATTATATAATATAACATATTGACGCACATATGTACATACATAAATTATTAATTTTGTAACAACTGAAATTAGAAAATTATGAAAATAGTAAAATATCATTTCTTGCATAATCTTTCACATTTTATCAATGTAGCTTTTTCCATAAAATTATATTTTATCAAATTTTCATCATAAAATCGTTTATATGGCAAAAATAATCATGCATATGTAGTGGCATTTGTATTTTTGTTTTCATTCATTCTGCTTCATTTTTCTCTTTATATTGGGAGATACGTAATTTGTCAGAGAACGTTGTTATAAAATCTCATTTCTGTTAAATAACAGCAAATATTACAGAAAATGGTGAACTCCTTGGTCTCAAATTTTCAGCCAATCAATCGAGCATCATACAAAATTCAATTTGCACCTTCTCCTTGTTTTAAGTTCTCTGGGTTGACCGTGTCAACGGAGATTTCACATGAAGTAATGAGTGTACATATCTACATACATATGTTGTTTGTAGACAAATTTACAAATACTTTTCTTTCATAATTCTTTACATGCACACATAATATGAAAATGCCGACGGTAAAACACAATCCTGTACTTTTGTGTCTCGATTATGCTTTCAAGTACATGAATTATTTTAAGAAATATATCATAATACTTTATTAGTAATAATTTAATAGTTTGATAAAAGGGAATATATTTCAAATGGCATATCAATATTCCCAGTTTGGCATACAAATTATACTTGTATTCTCTTCAATATTCGCCGGTTTGTTTTGTTAAAAGAACGTATGTGTACAGATTCACCGCTGTTATAAAAGCGAGAAATGTTATTTGTTTCTCCTGCATGTGGGGTGAACTCCTTGATAAAATTTTACAAATGTTCGCTGTCGAACCTGGACCTTCTCGTTCCTCTAAGTTCTCTGGTTTAATAGCCTAATTTGGTTAGATGCGGTTACTGTGGCAAGATATTTTGACATCGCTAGCGACCAATCCTTAAGCTTTTTAATGATAATGCCGACATATTTGGAGGGCATTTTGTTAAAAATGTTTACTGGGGAATGGAGTTTCAACACAGAGGCATGTATTGGCTTAATTATGCTCCAGGATCAACATTCAAATCCTCAGACATTCACTGATGTCATTCGTTTCATTGACAATTACATTTCTACAGATGGTTCGGTCAGCCACTTACACTTATTTGGATAATCAAAAGTATAACCACAGTCGGTCTTGTACTAGGGAAATAAGAGGACAACAGTTTTGTCGTTTTTACCTTCAACGCAAATATTATTATCTCTTACAGAAAGAATTCAAAATTTAGAAAAACATAAGGAAAACTTTTCCAAAATTCAAAACGTTTTAAATTGAAATCTTACTACAGAAAACATTCCTAATTTATATGATTTTGAACATTTCCTGTCTGATAGTAGAATAATTATGTCTTTTGATGTTTATTTCCAAAATTTTTATAAATTACAGAATCTTTTAATAAATGCTTATGTACTCTTTTATTTTATAAATGTAAAATGCTCGGACTTTGGAACTCCATAGAGCAAATATGGATATCCAATATATACTGGATGCTTATTCTTGCTGTTCTGATATAACTAATTATATAAACAAGTCTAACAAAGAAATTTCTAATCACTTAAATGAAGCTACATCATAAGTAAACGCTGGAAATTATGCCGTTAAGCAAAAACTAAAACATACATACGTATAATTCGGTATTAAAGGTTTAACTCAGATGTAGCCAGAGTTAAGTATTTACGCAAAATGGTAATCCATGGCTTGAAGAACAGCAAAATTTTATTGAAAACACATCGTATTCTCATTGAAATGGTGCACAAAATGAACTACCTCTTGGCACTTCCAGAAACAAATTTGCTGGACTTGCATGGTGAATCTGATTGCAATTTTAGACTTATTAAGCTACCCCCTTTAATTCCATTTGAGAAATGATTTTCTTTAGTCCAAAGTCTCAATATAAAAGAAAGAACTTACTTGACACATTTGATGCGCAAGCTAAAAACAAGTCGTTTTATTAGTTTATTGGCGGGGGAAACAGTCGTTTGATAATTGCAATACATCAATATCTTTACTATCGTGACAATTCTACACCTGGATCTAACCCAAGTTCCTTGAAAGTTCTTCTTTGTGCACCTAAAGGTAAATCAGTTTTCGGAATAGGTGGAATGACACTTCACTAGAGAGTTGAGGCCATTTAGCAATGACATAGTTAATTCATTGTATTCCAGACTACTCGATTTAAAATTAATCATAATTGATGAAATATCGATGGTAGATGCTCGTATGTTTAGCTCAGTTGATATGAGATTAAAACAAAATTACAAAACAGATAGCCCCTTCGGTGGTATACCGATCCTATTGTTTAGTGATTTGAAACAACTCTCACCTGTGGGAGATATGTGGATATTCTTTTCTAATCCCAATGATGCATACAGCATTTTAGGTGGTTCTTTTTCGTGGGAATTGTTCAAATACTTTTAATTAACAGAAATAATGAGGCAAAGGGAGGACTAGGCCTTTGCTATTGTTTGAAACTATATGGCTCCTGGTACTATGACAACTCATTGAAACACGAGTAGGTCATTCCGGGGAAGTTTCCGATAATGCCATACATTTATTTTGGTCCAATGAAGAGAAAAATAATTTCAATGCCCTTAAGCCCAGTCGAATCCCAACTGAGGCTATACTTTCAACTGCTAAAGACTCATTAAAGGAATACGTATAACTGAAAATTAGAATATTGTAACGGATTTCTCGATAAATCGTCTACCTTGTAACTCACTCTTGAGTTCGATCACTGGATTGTTAAATAAAAGTCCCAATTTAATGACTATACTTCTAATTCCAACAACTTAACACTTATTGCTCGTTATTTGAGCTTACAACTTCTTGCTTATGTCTCAATTGCTCTTAACACGACAACACTCTAACTATAACTGTGTTTGCTGCGCAATGCGGCAGCCCTTATATAGTAAATCTTAAACAAAATATTTCTTCTAGCACATTCTGGCAACTACGAATTCGCTAACTAGTGGCTTCTGGCAATTTATCGTTGATTCGATTTTGTTCTATCATCCGTATTCGTCACAATGTTTTGGAAAGAGTTAAACTTTTCACAATTTCTGAAACGCAGGGATTGCCCTATGAATTGACTAAAAACAGAGAGTGTATATTATAATATACGTTCTCTGTATGATATACGTTCTCTGCTCATACTCGTTTCAAAATGGAAATACCAATTTATTTTCGATAAATGACGACAACGCCATAAAGAATGCCACATAGACGTTTTTATATCGTTTTAAAACGAAAACGATTCGTAGAAAACATTGGAGTCTTATTAAAAAATAGGAAATTTACTGCTAAAATATTGAATTTCATATCAAATGGCGTATCTTGGCAGTCACTTAGACAGAAGGCTCACATGGAGAAAACATTTTACAAGCAAAATAACTAGTATGAAAGTAAGGGAAGCAAATTTTAATTGGCTTTTAAATATATATTTTAAAATTAGCCTTGACAACAAAGTTTTATTACACAACGCGTTAATAAAGCCAAATTCGATGTATGGTATTTATATAGTACAAAGGTTCCAGACTAAAATCCTTAAACCATGGTACATTCGAAGTGATCTTGAGATTTCTATGGAAAACCAAGAAGAAGATATATAATATTAACTGAAAAATTGTTTAGTGACCCTAGTACTAGAGCTGCAAAACTCTCGATAGTCGTATACACTTCATTTTTATGGAATAATAATTTATTTATTTTTAAGCAATACATGAACAATAAGGGAAACACAAAAAAATAATAAATACAAATTTTCATGTTACTACATAAACTGCCTGAGAGCTGAAGAGTTATAAAAATGTACATATTTTTTATTAATTTTCTAATGTAATATGAGATCAAGAAATGTATACTTAAAATACGTTTCGGTAGAGTATTTTATTCCTCAATAATCCACTTTTTTTTGTTTAAAAATAATAATTTGTTGATGTTTTTAGCCTTTAGTGCTGTTCCAACTTGGCTAAACAATCTCTCCTATTCTGTAAAATTAAAATTATTTCACGTGATACTCGTTTAGGTATATGCACTGTAGGCAGACTAATGCCTCTGGATGTAAAAATTTTCTGTACTTACGAATTTGAAACCACATGCGCGCATCCAAGCCAAGAATGAAAAGGTGATTTTGAGGCTAACATCCTGTGAAATCACCGGTTAATTACCCAACAGCATTATTAGGTATTTCTGTTAAAGACGTTTTGCGGTGACCACTATAGCTCTGAACTAGATCATCTGAAATTACAAAAACAAACAGGTTAAAGTAATGTTAAATCTAGTAATTAATCGAAGGAAAAAGCAAAATAATTTTTTCGACCAAATAGCCGTTTTCAAGTAATGTTGAAAACACCATTCTGAGAAAAACGCGTTCAAAGTTTGGAATGCACTTAACATGGAGGATAAATTTTTTTTAACTTTTTTTGATTGGCAGCTTCAACTATCTGCCAGCTGCACCATGAGTCTGGTCCATCCGGGCATGTCGTGCTGAGGTTTTGAACAATAATGGTAATATGTGGCCGAGATAGCATTATACATATTTTAATGGAATCACAATTTCTCTTTATTGCTAAACCATAATAAACTCTCAACTTATCGCTCATCTTTCCAATAAGTTTGCTTTTTTCACCGAGAGTTTTTTGTGTATTTATTTTACTTTTTTGTTTTCAACTGTTTCAACATTTCATGTCCAATACATTCTTTCTTTACATCTTTTTGATCACCATAAGGTGTAGCCTTTATAATTCCCGCGTAGGTTTTGGNGTCACCGTCTCCAATGTAATTTTTGGACATGGCTCCAAGTTTTTCCAATGAACGTTGAAACATTTCGACGACTGAATCAACTTCCATTTTCCCAGAAAAACCAGCATGATTTGCAGTGCAAGTATTTTCATGTTCTGCATGCCATTCATTATATTCTTCGGTATCGAGTTTCTTCTTCCAAGTTCACACAGTTTTCTGTACGAACTTTTAACAACAATATCTATGATTTTACCATAAAAGTATCCGATCAATGACGTCACACCTTACAAGGAAGCATACCCTCGCTTTTTCCATGTACCATCGCCAGATAGAGTTAATTCTGTCGAATATTCATCACCTTGATGTTCAAACTTCAAATTTTTTTCTTTAGTACCAGCCTGTTGAAAATGTTTTTTGGTTGCTGTGATATAAAAGCTCGCATGTCCATTGATCCACAAAATTTTGCTGCACCTTTTAACCCTAATTTCAAAAAATATAAACGAACTCACAAGTTTACTGCTTGGCTTAGCTGCGTATACTGACTACCACTCTTAAATATTTTCCAGTTTAGGGTTCGAAAATTAAAAATTTACATTTCAGGTATAAAAAAAATACAATCACACTGTTGATTTACACATCTATGTAACCCCATAAAAGCCATTAAACGAAAACTTCTAAAGTGCTATAACTAAGCCGCAAATTAAGACGCAAAACTGTAACTTGGTACAGGAAATCGCAGTAGCCATAGACATCTGTGAACTAAAAATTGAGCGAAGCCCTTTAAATGGTTTAATGTACATATATTCCAAACCGCTTAAGATATATCAACCTAACGTGTTGAGAAGAAGTAATTTTATCACCTCTTCAAATTCTGTGAAAATGGGTAAAATCGGATAATAACCACGCCCACTTTCCATATAACGGTTATGGTGAAAACTAATAAAAGTACTATAACTCACTGAATAAATGAGCTACAAGCATTAAATTTCCTAACCAGGATGATGGAGAAGGGCTTTTTAGGAGCTGGTTTGAAAATTGCACCGTTGGACGATGACAACTACGCCTAATTCCCATATGGCAAACTTTAAAATTCCGTCTGATTCTTTAATTTTACAGTATACAAATCAAACATCAATAAGGTTATCAGAATAAGACTTGGAAAAAATAGTGCGCTCAAGTTATTTCATCTTACGTCCAAAAATTGTCGAAATCGCAACGAAATGTTCGGTTACACCCGAACTTAGCCCTTCCTTATTTGTTTCAGATATTTTTTATGCCTCAATAATACGTCAATTCTTTCAATACACATCAAACGCAATTAAAATATACGTCCTGTAATGCTTCAGTTAGTGACCGACGTTCCACTCTTCCGTTTTTACCGCCCGTATCAAACAAAATTTGACGAAGTTATGCCCGTGGGGATAACGTAGAAATCAGTTGTTCTCTTTTGTTTTCATTTGAGCGATTGGGTCCCGATTCGACCGATTTTAACCAACTTTGGTGTGGGAGGTTACCCAAACAATCCTATTAGACACTGCAAAACATAGACGATGACAACTACGCCTAATTGACATATAACAAACTTTAAAATTAAAATACAAATCAAACATCAATAAGGTTATCAGAATAAGACTTGAAAAAAATAGTGCCCTCAAGTTATTTCATCTTACGTCCAAAAATTATCGAAATTGCAATGAAATGTTCGGTTACACCCGAACTTAGCTCTTCCTTACTTGTTTCAGATATTTTTGATGCCTCAATAATACGTCAATTCTTTCATTACACATCAAACGCAATTAAAATATACGTCCTGTAATGCTTCAGTTAGTGATCGACGTAATGTAGGAAGGATAATATTACCTACCGATTTGGTTGAAATCGGTCGAGGAGATCCCGAGCTATGGGTTTTGGACTTAAATGTGAGCAGTGCTACGCCCATTGCCAAATTTTAACCCCAGCTCTTATAAGACCCTCTTGTATTATCTAAGGTGTAAAATTTAATGTATCTGGCGCATTTAGTTATTGATTTATCGCGTAATATCGAAGTCGGTGAACTGCATAACTTCAAAACTACTGCAAGATCCTTTTGAAATTGTGTACGCTATTTCTGGTCATAATTTAAGAGGTAGCATCTGAGAGTTATTTTTAAATTGGTTATTATTTTTTATTTTTCAATAACATATTAGCCGATTTCTTGCGTTTTCCCTTTCAAGTATTCTAAAAAATTAAAAATTTGAGTTTCGAAAAACCATTATGGTGTTCAATGGGGAAAACTATTATTTAAGAAAATAACCTTTTTTTTATTTCAAATGATTTAGCACAAAGTTATGAGAGGCATACAATTATATTTTCTTAGCATTAACCAATATCACTTGTCCTCCCATGAAATTTTCAGTAATAACTATACATAGCCATAGAGAGGTAATCATATAATAACATCAATAATAAAACAAGTATAAACTAGTGGGGAAGTTATGTAAAATTATTATTTATACGACACATACTTTTACTACAAATAATTATTATCCTAAAGTACTGCTGCAGTCTATTTTCAAAGCATTGTGGCCAGTTTTATGTAGAAGCTTGATATCAAATTAATTTTTATTGTACGTGATGGCAATATTTTGAATGTACTCCAAGGTCCAACAAACACTTTCTGATCTGGTTTTCAGTATGAACTGCATGTCAACCTTTAACTTTTAACAAGCACCACAAAATATGTGACCTGTTTTTATACTCTTGCAACATGTTGCTCCAGAGTATAATAGTTTTGTTTACCTAACGATTGTTTGGATCACCTAAAATAATCGAGTTAGATATAGGGTTATATATAATATATACATAAATGATCACAATGATGAGACGAGTTGAAATCCGAGTGACTATCTGTCTGTCCGTGCGAGAGATAACTTGAGTACCAATTGAATTATCTTAATGAAACTTGGAACACGTATTCCTTGGCAAAAACTAGCGGATCAGGTCGTATATGGGCGTGTTCGGACTATTGCCACGCCCGAAAAACGCCATTAATCGAAAACCTATAAAACATATGGTATATAGATACAAAACTGTAATTTGATACAACGAATCGCAATAATGAGGGATACCTGTGGTTTGAAAATTTTTTATAGTGGCCGTGGCCCTGTCTCCTCATAGGTTATTATATTATATTACCCAAATTTTCATAGGACATATCATTTCGACACCTCTTCCGATAGCATGAAAAAGATGCAATCGGGTGATAACCACGGTCCCCATATAATATATATATTTATACCACATATATTAACTTATATGCTAGTTATTTTAATGAAATAGAGAGAGTGTGTTTTTTTAATAACAATGATATAATGCAATATATTGCCTAATGTAGGTAAAATCAGGCGAAAACTTGCTTTATTATATTGATTTTATGATTTTCAGGTTTTGAAACGTCCGTCGGACTTTACTCCACAAATAAAATTGCTTGAAAATATGATCTCAAGTATACCTGAGCAATTTCAAAAATTAATGCAATCAGCCCTTCCATTTCTATATTCCCAATGATTTTAGTATAATTTTCGCTGACGGGAAGTAAAATATAAAATTAAAACTAAGTAAGTCTGTAACCTTCAAAATAAGTTAATTGATACCAAATTTGATTGTAATCCATTCATCACTTCGTCGAACAACGAAGTTGAACCTTTTCGCTACATTTCTTAATAAAGTTCTTAATATAAATATAGCAAGAGTATAAAATGTTCCGTTACACGAACTTAGCCCTTCCTTACTTGTTTATTATAATAATTATATATAAAAAACGTATTAATATAAATTTAATTAGGGAAAGTCCTAAGAGTAATATTTTTTTTAATAAGTCTCGTAATATAATATCTGTTTTTGATATTTATATATATGTTTACATACAAGCATAGTTATATATTTTTTTATATTTATATGTATCTGTAAAATTCATTCATTCTTTCGGCCAATTGCTCATATTATTATTTATTTATTGACATTTAGCCTCATAAACATTAACATAAGAAGCTATAATGATACGTTCAGCTTATTTAAATATTTTTTGTGTTTCCACGTCAAAGTTGCTTATAAATGTTTCCCCGAAATTTCAATGGCAAGTCACTTCAGCACATACAGTGTAAAAAGGTAAATAAAATAACATTTTAATTACATAAGGAAGACGAAAAAAGCTTAATTTAAACTTTTTTTAAATCCGGTTTTGACTACGAGCATTGTACACTGAGAATTATTTTTAATTTATTTTAAATGCTTAATTTAAGCTATTATATTAATACTTTTTATATAATTTAACAAAGAAAATGTTTAATCCTTGTTTATTAACCGTTTATTGTATTAACGAAACCGAGTATTTAATATTGCTAATAGTGTTATCAAAATGCTCTGTACTAATTAGTAGTAGTTACCAAATGGTCAATATTGTATGTAAATGAAAGAAACACCGCGAAATTCTCTCCACAGCTATAATGAACATGTTGTGTAAAATTTGAGTAGGCATTTGTTTAACGTGTAGTGCGTGTTACCAATTTTTGGGCTATATAAACTGGTAAAATTCCACCTTCATGTAATTATAGTCCAGCTGCCCAAGAGTCCAGAGTGAAGTTTGTGAATCTTGAATTCGTATATATATTGTAAGTGAGTTAAAAAAATTTTAAATAGATTAATAATTGGTGTTCAAAATTTAGTATATACAAATACAAATGTCTCAAAAACTTGAAGAGGCATCAATGAGAGAATATTCCGAACTTCATAAAGATATTCTCTACTGAGAGTTTCATATCTTAATTTTACTATATAATATATAAACGTTAAGTACGTTTAGTACATGCTCATTCAGCACTCATCTATGTGCAGAAATATTCAGTTAATTGTGTAATCAGAAATGTATACAAAATATAATAATTATTATAGTTGTCACGTCCAATTTTCTTGACAACTAAAATAAAAATTCCCCACTGAGCCACTCGTAAAGTTTATTGTGATGAGTGCATGAAGATATTGCAATAGTTCAACTACCGGTTACATAAAATTAGTGATTATACAACTTTGTATATACTAAAACATACATATGTCGATACGTATAAGTATAGGTATAAACATGCTTATATAGCATAATTCCGACATACGACATATGCCACAAAATATTAGTATATAAGTATAATTAAATAATATATGTAGTACTTATGATACATAATTATGTATGTAATATCAGTACATTTTACAAGCAACTTGTAGTGATTGATATATGTATCATTTTGTCAGGATATGATTACAACATTAAATTATTTACAATATACCTTAAAATATGAATAATTAAGATATATATTTACAATAAAAATACTATATATAATATATATAAAATATTATATATAAACTCGGTAACCGTTAAAGTTGTACAAATATAGTGACATTATAGATTTAAAACCATTTACGAAAGAAACCTAGTCACTTCTAAAATATATGTGTCATAAAAATTTTAAGTATAGCATTGTTTCATAAATCATTGCGTATACCAATATATGTAATTTGTCAAAACATAATACATGTCTCATTTTTAGAGAACATGAAAGCAGCCTTAATATTCTTCATAATTGTTGCCGTTCAGTATGGATCAGCGCAAAAGCAGTACACAAATAAATTTGATAATGTCGATGTGGATGGCGTTTTGTCAAATAATCGTATTCTAACTAACTATATTAAATGTCTTATGGATAAAGGTCCTTGCACTCAGGAAGGTCGTGAGTTAAAAAGTAAATATTATTTATTAAATATGCATATGTTTGTGAACATATAGTTACTTTTTATTAAATTAACAATCTAATTTTTGTTTAGAATTATTACCTGATGCCCTACAGACGGATTGCTCAAAATGTACAGATACCCAGAGGAAAAATTCACAAAAAGTAATAAATTTCCTTCGTGTGAACCGTCCAGGAGAGTGGAAACTGCTACTAGACAAATACGACTCTAAAGGAATTTACAGATCTAAGTATGAGAAACAAGGTTAAACTTAGTCACAGAGAACGGTTAAACGTTGAAATAAAACTACATGTATTATATATGTATATGAGTTAGTCAGAAAATAAATATGTATGCAATACACAGTACAATCCGTACATATATAGCAATGTATTTTCATTATAATAACCATTTAACGATTTTATTTCTCATAGTGTTCACGATTGTTTGTAAAATCAAAACTAATTACTTTTAATAACTTTTGCGTGTCATTAGCAACTAATCAGGAAACTCTAAATCAGCTAATAATTAAGATCCACTAATAAATTAAAAATATTGTAAAATATAGTTTAAAATAACTAAAACAACACGCTTTAAAGGAATTTTCAAACCTCCTCCTATAGAGCTCTTCCCTACCATCTTGTTTGTGAAATTTAATGCTTATGGCGCATTTATTTCGTCAGTTATCGCACTTTTAGTATATTTTAACATAACTGTTATAGGGAGTGGGCGTGGGCGTGGTTTCTCTTTCTCTCAGCAAATTTGGTTGAGTTAGCTTTACCGGTTTGGAAGATATATATTATTAAACCATTTAGGGGCGGGGTTACGCCCACCTTTCAAGTAATGGAAGACTGTTATCAAATTATTGCATTGTCACGTTTGTAAAGTTTCAAGTTGATCAGACTTCTGGAAAGCGGTGAAAATTGAGCTCTCATACTTGTATTCCATTACATACATACAACCCAAGCTAATAAAAGCGTATTAATAAAATACCAAGCGTTGAAGAGAAGCGACTCGACTCAAAGAAACGGGCAGCACTTTCAATGCAATTCTGCGCTAACATGTCTGTCGCATGCGCAATTGTGTTCCGATCTCATCTTTGTTGAAAAATTGTTCTTTTCGCATTAAAAAAGCGTTTTAATAGAGAGCAGCGCGCAAATATGTCGAGCCGGTTTTGAATCAATCGATCGCGAAATTAAGTCGCAGCAATTTTCGATATACATATGTATATTTTTTATTAAAATTGAATTTATTGATCAAAGACTATTTTGTATTCTTAAAGTTAAGCTTTACTAAACTCAAAAACAAAATATGGTTATCTTTATAAAAACAGTTGTTAGAGCAATTAAAAAGCATACTATTTCTATAAATTTCACAACTAAGTAATCTTTAAATGGGTGTAACTGCTCTTAGAAAGTTTATCATACTTAATTGTGGTATATTTTTATACCCCGAACAGTGTATTTTAAGTCGTCGAAGATATTATATGATCAGCGTGATGAGCTGAGTTATTTTCCTCAGTTTTTGAGATTTCGATTGTTACGCACTTTCTCTTCTCCCCGAAAAGCTGCCCATTTGTTAGAACCGCCGATTTCGGATCACTTTAGCATACCTGCCATACAAACTAACCAACCATATTTAATTCTTTGTATGGACTGGTATTTGTCAAGTATCTATCTTCACGAAATTCTGCATAGTTTATAGTACAAAGCCTCCTCGAACCAAAGAGTTTTGAGGGGTATTCTCCAACTCTGAACACAAACTATAGTTCAATAGATTAAAATATAGACTTCCAGAGGGCAATCATCTGCAGTTATGAAACGAGGAATATCGCTTTCAAGCAACTGCTGGGTGGTTTCTGCCTTATGTGCGTCTCTCAATCGAAGAGAGTATTACTTAACAGCTTTACCAGACCTTCTAAACACTGGTACACTTTTGCCCCAGTTTTAACCTCTTTTTCACAGAAGTGAAGAGGTGTAACGCCTTTACAGGAGAATCCCCAACAAACCATTACAGGTACCAACATCGTCATAATTACAGTGGGATGATTGTGAAAACCAAAAAAAATATTATTTATGTTGCTGTTTTTATTTTGCGTTTTTTATTAAATTATCTGACATATCTCTATCAAGAAATCTAATTTGTCTTCTTCGAAATCATCCACTTTAAAATGTTTATGGCAAATTATCTAAGGGGTAAGGGGTAGTCAGAGGCACGAAAAAATAAGAATTTTCAGGAATTTTTGTTTGCTATTAAATCATGTTATTTTACAAAAGTAGTAATATGGTATTATTATAAAATTTCTTGACTTGAAGTCACGAATATTACAAAAAAAAATTTAATTTCCAAAGTTATAGCTGTCTGTGCATACCCAGTTCCAAAAAAAAGGTCCTTGCGGTGACAATCATAAGTCCTTGGAGATTCATCTTAAATCAATCGGATAGAAAAAATTAGTTTTATAAATAGATAATCCTGGGCCTGATTGAAGCTTTTTTTTTGTTTTTTTCAAAAATTAACAAAATGACGGCCACAGCAAATTTTTTTCTAGATTTTTGGGAAAAAATCAACAGTTAATTGGTCTTAAAAAATCAAAATTTTTGAAAAAAAAATCCTTCGATAAGGCCCGAGTTCATTATGTATTCTAAAACCTGTATAAATTTTATTAAAATCTACTAAGCGGTTTTCGAGTTAAAGTTGTCACTAGTTCAAAAACCATATTTTTGAGAAAAACGCATTTAAAGTTTCACCTACCTGCTCCAGAAGGCTTTGAAGTGCCCGAGCGCGCTTTGTTATTTATCAAGTAACTCAAAAAGTAATTATCGGATCAACTTGAAATTTTCAGAGAATATTTTCGAGATATTACACTAACGAAAATGCAAAAAATTTTTTTGGAAAATTCTGACTACCCCTAACCCCTTAAGTTTGGACTAACCTCTTCGTTGCAAAAGATAACAGAAAGCTTTATTAATTCTTCATTTTTGGGAGAGCCACCGAAGAGGCTAAATTTAATGTATTGAGTTGATGGAGAAAACGTCAACCAAAAGATCGGAATTCATTTTTATTAGAGACTAGCGTCCCGGTAAGTGCTTTGCTACGTATAAAGTGAGATAATAAAAATAATTAATTGGAATATCAATTTCAATATCATTTATTTAAACAAAAAAATATTTTATTAATTGCTAGCTATTTTAAAATTTAATCCAAAACATTTGGATAAACAATATTTATTGTTTTTCCATTCTGAGCATGAATAAACAAACGCCTGGGAGTACCGACTTTGGAACACGCAACATAAAGTTGGCCGTGTGAAAAACATGATTCCTCCAAATTCACACCACAAACGTGAAGTGTTTGCCCTTGGGCCTTGTTGATGGACATCGCAAATGATAAACGCACAGGATACTGTAATCGTTCAAACTCAAAAAGCATATCAGTTGGAATCATAGGGATACACGTTATCAAACAAACTTTTCCTTTTGATTTAGCATTTAAGATCGCAGCTTCAATCAAATTTGGCAATAACTTTTTCACTGCCAATCTGGTGCCATTACACAGTTTTGGTGGATTTAGATTTCGCAATAATATAATCAAAGAACCAACTATCAGATTCAAGCAATGTGGTGGCATACCAGCCAGTTACAATAAATTTAAAATTTCAATTAGAATATTCATTACTTCATCTTGATTCATAACACTGTCAATTGATTTATATGTCGTGGCTATACTTGGCAGTTTCGCTTGAATTTGAAAATTAATGGCACTGATGTGAATGTTCTTCGGTAGTAAAATGGCGCGTTTTCTCAACTTTCTGTAATCCTGTACAATATTCCGAAAAACACATTCAATCAATTCATATATCGATTGCGCAATTGTACAAAAATTGTTCGGTACAGCGATCAATCTGTTGGTACTGACGATTTATATTTTGACATCACCAATTTCTAATAATTGTTTTGAAAACTCTTGGGCAGATGGATCATTTTGTAGGCGAATGCGCATATTAATGTTCAGTGTGAATTTTTGTACATATCTCCAAAGAACTGATGACTTCAAATAGGCATTGATTTCATCAGCAGGAGTTGATCGAGGAATGACAGTCAATGTTTGACGAAAATCCCCTGACAGTAATATCAAAGCACCACCAAAAAGCTGTTCATTACCACGTAAATCTTGCATTGTTCGATTAAAAGTTTCTAGTGATTTTTTATTCGCCATTGTACACTCATCTCATAAAATAATAAACGGAAATCGCAGCCCTTTTGCCATACCAGAATTTCTCGAAATATTGCATGTTGGAGTGTATGTTCAATGGCAATTTTAAAGCAGAGTGTGCGGTCCGACCACCTTCTAATAATGTAGCAGCAATATAACGAACGTTTTGCCTGTACCACCAGGTGCATCCAAGAAATATAATCCACCTCCATTATTGGAAACGGCTTGCATGATTGTGTTATATACATGTTTTTGCTGAATATTCAATTTGGTTATATTCGATTGTACAAATAAACGCAAATCATTAGAATTGAATTCTTGCTCACGTTGCAATTCACGATCAAACAAATCATGCATCTCACGATTTTGTGCGGTCATACCCTATTGTACTAATGCTTTATTTGCAATCGTTAGACACATATCTTCAATTAATTTCAAAGCTTTGTTGTACATTTCCAAGGTAATCAACAAATCAGGATTTTTTGCATGATGAGGCATTCGAATTAAAATATCTCTTGAAATGATTTTAGGCCATTGACGTTAACTAATAACTACCGCAAATAAACACACTCAACATTGTTTGGATGTACTGTATATATTCTCCCAATTGCATCTGCTTTGAAAATGCCTGGATACCCATCGGCTGTTGTTCCTTGTTTATAGGCACTTCAGAATATAAAAAATAATGTATCAGTTTCGCAAAATTTAAAAAAAATAGGCCAACGTAGTCGCTGGTGGTTGTGCTGCTCTTTCCAATACCTTCTGCTCAACGCAAAACGAGACTTTATCCATAACTCGACAAGGACATGACATATGGTCATACTTTTTTTTGCTTAGGTAGGCAGGACTGTTATATGTTTACATGTCAAATTTGAGCGCGATCTGTCACATAGTTTTTTTTTAAGGCACTATAAACAAGTCAACCTCGAGTGTGTTTTTTGAATTTTACTATGGAAATTAACGTTGAGCAAAAAGTGTTTGTTTGAAATTTTGTTATTCCAATGGAATAAGTGCGACGGACGCAATGAAAATGTTGCAGAAGGCATATGGGGAGTCTTGCCTATCACGTGCACGTATTTTTGGTTGGTATAAGTCAATGGTCAATAAGTTCAAGGACGGCCGTACATCGCTGGAGAACTTGCCCCATGATCGTCGTCCAGCAACGTCAATAAACGAAGAAAACGTCGAAAAAGTAAAGAAAATTGTGTTGGAAAATGGTCGTGTGACTGTAAGAGAGATAGCTAGTGAGCTCAACATATCAAATGGATCAGCTCATAGCAGTATTCACGATGTTTTGGGCATGAGACGTGTGTCTGCTCTACTTGTTCCAAAATCCAGCTCATACGTCTCGTCTTGTACGCGATTATTTGACCAAAAACAACGTAAATATTGTTCCGCACCGTATTCACCCGACATGGCACCGTGTGACTTTTTTCTTTTCCCTAAACTCAAATTGCCGCTTCGTGGAAAGCATTTTCAGTCGATTGAAGTCATAAAAGAGAATTCGAAGAAGGAACTGAAAGCCATACTTAAGCGGCCTACCAGAAGTGTTAGGAAGATTGGAAAAAAAGATGGCATATGTGTATCGCCTCTAATGGTGACTATTTTGAAGGGGATAAAATAAATATTGAAGAATAATTAACCGTTTTTGTTGTTTGAGCCAGTCTCGTTTATATTTGAGCAGAAGGTACATTTCAAGATGCACCACCAAGTGAACAACCACAGGATGTCTTCCGTACATTGGAAACAACATAATCCTCCAGACAGCTTCATTGCTACTAATATAGCGCCCTATTTAATACTGAGTAATTTCATCAATTCTATTATCACCAGACTAAAGTTACCCGCAAGTGAACATATTGCGTCCATCATTCCAATGTATCCATATGTATGTATTAAAGCCGCATGCATCATTTCAGCCAAAACAACACGACATATTCGTGATCGCCCTGCAAGTACAGGTATTTCGTGCATTACGTTCACGTTGCATTAGCTTGTGTGCGTTCATCTGCAGTCTGTGATCGCCTTAGTAATGCCCCATCATTTGCATTATGCGTTCGCCGACCTATATTTGCTCATCTGTCTTGAGGTATTTTTTCTTCATATAAAAAAGAATAAATCAAATTAAAAACAAATTGCTACATTAATAGTGGTGTATCAGTATTTATATTTGGGCGTATATGTGTGAATGGAAATATTATATATATGACTGCATATACCTATACCTATATACCCTGCCTATATAAAAATGTCATTAAATAATTAATTTTTAAATCGACACTGTAATGAAACATCGACGGCTCGCTAAAAAAAGGGAGAAAAGTACACGCACACATATACATTGTACATTTGAACAATTCAAGACTCTCCGTTTGTATGAATGCACTCAACAATATATAATATTTAAAAATACAAAAACAAAGCAATAATTATCTTTGACAATTTGCTTTAATCGAAGCACGTCCAAAATGAAATGACCGCATGAATGACATATGTAACATGCTGGTACTGTCAACACTAAAAAAAGTTTCAATTTTACAGCAAAATCCGCATTAACAAAATGATCCGTCAATTATTGAATTCATTTGTGATAAATGAAGAACCGCTCGACCGATTTTGCGCAAACTTCACATGAACTATCTACTAAATGTTTGTTAGAATCAAATGTAATAATATCATTATATGAGTTATATAGTAGTGGGGATAATTCATAGACCAACTTGGCATATTTTTGGCATTAAACTAAAGTATATCCAATATAATATATGTATACAGTTAACTTTGCTAAGACATACATATTGACATTACGGGTGCGTTCGAGCTACGTAATAATTGCAGCAGTACAGCTACTGTGTTGCATATTTGTTGATACTCTGCTGATGTGCAGACAAAAATTTAGTGTTGCCGATTATTTGCATAAATTGCGTGCAAAAAGTGACAGTAGAACGTGATGCTGTTGCAAGTGTTGCCAAAAATTCACGCAGAACGTGATACTTTGACAAATTTGCAACACTGCTGTCGTGATTGCCATCTCGAACGCACCCTATACAAGGTGCGTTCCAAAGTAAACAGGACTTTTAAAAAAAAAAGACAGAACAAATGATTTTATCGGCAAAATCAATTAATTTTATTCAAAATAGTCTTCTTCTGCTTTAATACAGCATTTTGCACGGTCCAAAAGCATGTCGAACGAGTGTTTTAGCTCGTTGCCCGGTATGGCCTCCAGTATGCCGGTGCAAGCCTTTTGAATGTCCTCCACAACGCTTTCCTTTCATCGGCAAATGCATTTTTCCGAAAAGGTAGAAGTCGCACGGTGCCATATCAGGTGAATACGGGGACTGGTTGATTGTTTAATTGTGATTTTTGGTCAAATAAACGGCAACAAGCGTCGATCGATGAGACGGCGCATTATCGTGCAACAAATGCCAACTTCCATCTTCGCGATATTCGGGCCGAACACGTCGAATACGGCGCACCAAACGCTTCAAAACTCCAAGGTAGAATACTGCATTAGCGTTTTGACCGGGTGGAACAAATACTTTGTGGACAATACCCTTGGAATCATAAAAACAAATCAGCATTGTCTTCACTTTTGACTTTGAGGTTTCGGCTCATTTCTCATTTATGTCCTCACGACCACTTTGAAAACGTTGAAACCACTCGTTCGCTCTGCTACGGGATAGGCAATCATCGCCATAAACTTGTTTCATGAATTGAAACTTTTCGGTAAAAGTTTTACCACTTTTAGAACAAAATTTAATGTTGGCTCTTTGTTCGAAGCTCATTTTAGTACCGACGACAAAAACATACTGACACGTAAAATGTAATAACTTCACTTCCAATATATGAAATGTCATGAAATTTTTACTGGAAGTCGATAAAGGACAGCAGATTCTAACTAGTCGACATATAGATGGCGCCACTAGAGTTTACTTTTTTACTGTTTACTTTGGAACGCACCTTGTATATTGACCGATATAAAGCCAACTGGAAGTTTGAAAATTGTGTATTAGGTATATGGGGGCTAGAGAAGTATTGACCCGAATTTATCAATTCTCTCTCCGTATTTTAATAATATATCTCACAGATTAATTGAAACTTTCGGTAAAAAGGCAATCATAGGCACTGGGGTGTCGGTATGTGGGGGCTTGCATATGTAGCTGTAGTCCGATTTTGACAATGTTTAGTCATGAGGTAGCATATATTTGTGTATATTTTTTATACCGATATATTCATTGTGCCTTGATTTGTATATAAAAGGAAACAATCAGATGGAATTTAAAATTGTGTTGCCCTTAAGGTGACCGGTGCTCTTTCTCCAATATTGACACCGGCTCCTATAAAGTCTTTCCATACCATATATGATATAAAATTTAATGTTTCTGACGTATTTATTTAGTGAGTTATCGTACTTTTAGTAGTTTTCAACATAACCGCTAGTGGGCAGAGTTTTTGCCCGATTTTACCCATTCTCACTGTTTTGGAGAAATTACCAAAATGATTTTCCCTGAGCGAATTTAGTTAAGGTTTGTAATATATATTATGTACATCAAAAATATTAGGGGACAGGCCAACGTCCAATTAATGAAATTTTCAGACCACAAATAATCTTTTCTGCTGAGTTACTTTATTATTTACAGTTTTGTTATAAAGAAACACTTTCGCTAAATTTTCGATTAAAGGCGTTTTATTCCATTCAAATCCCCTATTTTCTTAATGCTCCTCATATTTTAACCACCTCCTTGCATCTTCGCCGCATGGAGCTGACAAGGTTAGTGCAAGTCGTGACCGGTATTGAATACCATGCTTCTTGAAGTTTTCTCCATACTTTGTGCTTCTTTTTCCAATTTTGTTCAACGACAGATTTCTTCAGCACTCATCATAGGTGTTCTATAAGATTGAGATTCGACGACTGGGAAGGCCATTCCATAACGTCGACTTTATTGGCTTGAAACCACGATTTTACCAGTGTCAAAGCATGTCGGGTCGTTGTCCTGCATGTACTCCCATTTTAATGGCATATGCACTCCGCATAAGGCAACATTACAGCATTAAGAATGTTGAGATAATCTGTTGAACACATTTTGTCTTGTATTCAATAAATCGACCCAACTCCAACCTCCGAAAAGCATCCCCATAACATTATTGATCCGCCTCAGTGTTTAATGGTTTTTCGTGTATATCTGAGGTCAAATTCCACGTTTCGTGGTCGTTGTACAAAAGTTTTGTCGTCGGATCCAAATAAATTAACTTTCGTTTCATCCGACCACAGGACCTTACTCCAATTCCACGGAACATGTGCTTCTGAGCAAATTCAATTCCTTTTTTTACATTTTGTTTGCTTAAAAACGGAACTTTGCGTGCAATTCACTTCTTCCAGTTAGACCAGCTTCCCGAAGTCGGTTTCTAACTGTGCGACTGGTTACTGATACATTTAGTAAGTTTTTAATATTTTCAGACGATAAAAATGGATCCTTTTTTGATTACATTATGCTGGTAATGGTCAAACTGTGCCGTTGTTTTGCATTTCTGTGCTCTTCTTTTTTGCGCGTGTTTTGAAGGCATTACAAGCCATATTTTTGAGGCATTCCTTTATGTGCGCTATTTCACGAATAGTTTTTCCGATTTTCTTAAGTTAATAATGTTTTTTTTTTGTTTTTCCCTTTCCATACAATGTTTGCCGCGCTCCATTTTATATAAAAATATTTATTTATGTAATACAACAAAACAATAAATGGGCTTTTAATTTCAAAAAATTTATATTTTTAATAAATATGCAAAACCATTGAATAAATTAATTGAATCTCTTACATGTTCTTCCAACTTTTTTCATACACAACTATATAATTTTGAAAATCAAAGTTGCAATTAAAATACAAGTTCAAATATGCTTATAAAGATGTTTTTTCGCTTATTTTTCTCTGACTAAGTCAATTGGCTTAAAATGGTTTAAGGCATTAACAGTCCAATCTGACACATTATCGTTAGTAAATTCCTTTTTGAAGCGATAATTGCACACAAACACTTTATCTTGATATTCTGGCAGGGTCCTGAAAAGAGAAAAAAAAAAGGTTAATTATATAGAGATTTGAGTACGTAAATCTGTGTCATTTATGAAATAATAAATATATAAAAGCATGCAAGAAGAAATTAGTTGAAGCATTTAGGAGTCAGTTTCTGTGAGAAGTTCCTTAATATTCATAATTCTCTATGACTCAAACTCAAAACGAGACAGTGTAAAATTGTCCATCGTACTCAAGAATTATCGAGATTACGCCAAGTTTTTACGTTAACTTTTATCGATTTAGCTTGTGCCAGATGAGGCTAAGGATTACAAAAACAAAATTACGGTGACTCATACTCTAAAGAATAAGAAGAGGAAGCATAGAAACAATCTCAAATAGTCAATAAATTGTAATCCAAAACGTAAACAGCTTTGTTAAATTGTGAAATAAAATTAGTTTATTAGTTTATGGTGAAAAATTTTAATGAAAAGAGTTGGAAAATGTTTCATGAAAATATTTCATTCATTTTGAAAGAAATAAGAATAATTATTAATTTTTGAAAGACACTCTCGTTCGGCAAAACAACTTGATATTACAATAGATGCTAAATGCTTACTCCATGCGTGTTTGCAAATATTTTTCATAAATAAGCAAACCGCATCCGATAAGATAAAATACATGGTATAAAGACAGTTTTTCCATGAATTCTTCTGTGGCTAGTCGTGGAAGTCGATGACACAACCGCTATTATGTAGGTATTTCGGCAACAAACCATATTCTGCTTAGCTGCAGTTGTTTCCGTTACACAGCATTTAGTGTACCTAAGCGAAATTTGCAGATAAGCAAGCATAATATAATACATCTTGTTTAATTTTAATTAAATAACATATATTTTGGTTGTGCGCTTATGAAAAACAATTTGTAAGTTTACTAGGCGATTTTTTTTCCTTTTGAAATTTCGAAAATGTTAACATTTTTTTCAATACCGTTTCCAATAAAAAAAATGTTCCCAAGTATTTAATGCAGTTAAGGGATTACATGGGTCTTCTAACTTGAAAAATCTATTTTTTTTATTCAATTGTACAGTACCTTGACTGAAATTTTTAAGCCGATCCGAGCCAATTTTCCAGATATATGTATAGGCGTTTAAAGCTCGTAGTTACGGACTCGGCTCGACTTGCAGAAACTTTAAATGCGTGTTTCTCAAAACTGCTTTTTTGAACTCGGTAGTCAAAGTTTATCGAAAACTTATGAACCGATCGACTTGAAGTTTTGCATACATTTTTTGCGAAGGATCTTTTTCTTCATCATTAACAATTCTGTTGAGAGGATAATACGTAGAGAAATTTAGTGCAAAAGTGCATATAATTTGCGAAAATCCTTCGTTGAAGCATAGCTTTACTCACCTACTAAGGAAAAACTTTGGTTTTTTGATTTCAGATAAAAATTATCCAAGTTACACTGATTACCGTGAGGTCACTTTTCTGACGCTGACGTTAGTTAAGGCGCTGTCAACGTCTGAATTTACAATATTTTTTAAGGCAAATTTTTGTGCATGATGTTGACATTATATACACTTACGTGTAACAAAAAAAAGTTATAATAATGTTATATCTTCAAAATAAAAATACAGAAAAGCGACCTTATTTTCAGTTACAATACGGATGTAAAACCTTAAGTCTTCTTTTTTACGCATTATCATAAGAACAGGAGTAAAGAGATCGGAAAAAATATTTTACACCAACAGACAGGCGGCCCTGCCATACCATCTTAACTGCAAAATTATTAGTTACATTAATTAATAAGATAACATACATTCAGATTATTAATAAGGAATAGAAATGCTGAATCAGTCCAAATTTGTGGTAATTTTATACGTTTTCTACTTTCATTTCTCAATAATCCATTTCAATCAACAAAGACTAAGTTCATATCGATTTAAAAAATACTAGCATGTAAAAATTTAATAATGTATCCCAAATTCGTAAGACGATTAGCCCGAGTATAGCAACCGCTGAATATTGTGCATGACAACTTACCGCTGAGTAGCTGTTTGTCCCGCAAGGTGGTTTGTATTCTATTTATTACAAAGTTGCAACATACAAGTATTATCACAGAGTATAATAGTTTTGTTCACCTAACGGTTGTTTGTAATATTTAGACCCAATCTAAATAGATATAAAGTTACGCATATATAAATGATAAGGATGACGAGACGTGTTCAAATCCGCACGTCCGTCAGTGCAAGCTAACTATAACTTGAATAAAATTAAGATATCTTGACCAAACATAGTACAAATGTTCCTTGGCATCATAAAAAGTTCGGTAGATGGGTGTAATCGGACCACTGCCACGCCTACAAAACGCCATAACTAAGCCGCCTTTTAAAAACAAAACTGTAATTTGGTACAACGCATCGCAATAACGAAGGCAATATGCTAGTTATTTTATTGAAATTGACAGAGCGTATTTTTATAATAACAGTATATCTTTTTGCTTAAAAAGGGTAAAATCAGGCGAAAACTTGTTTTAGTCCCCATATAACTGATATTCAGGAAGTTGAATCGTCCGGCTGACTTTTCTTAATATAACAAACAAAGACAAAAGCTTACATACATCAACAAAATTTCATTTTTTATGCAAAAAAAAAGTATTTTAACGCATATGTAAGCATGAAGTTTATTTTTAGTAATTTATTTACTAACATTGAAACCAAAAAAAAAACATTCAATGTAGCTTAGATAACGGTTAATTCATCAGAAACAAAATTATACGGGACAAAAGTTTAAATACAACCACTGAAAAAACGCATCGCATATGTTTTACAATTCTTTAGAAAGTGCCGTTATATTCAATGATATAGATGCGATTTCTTCTCCAAGAGTGGACATAGAATAAAAAAAATGGGTAAACGAAAACAAACAGAGAGTGGCGTTAAAAATTTAATAATTTACCCCGGGCTAAATAGAGGTGCCTATAAATAATAAAACCAGCCGGATTTTACAGTTTTACAAGAATTCGGGAAAATGTTTATAAAAACCATACGAGGAACAATATTTACATGATTCAAAAAAACTATATATCGTGGATGAAATACAGAACAAAATAATGACACTAATTTAGAAAAAAACAAAAGCATAAATGTTTATAAATAAAGTAAAAGTTGAGTTATTTTATACAAAACATATTTGCATATACAAACAGTCATCTTTCCATCATAATTTTATATGAGCCAATTATTATGAAGTATATACTGTGCATTTCCACTGTATTTTGTAACAAGATAAACAAAACTACATAACAACAAGTAAGGAAGGGCTAAGTTCGGATGTAACCGAACATTTTATACTCTCGCAAAGTCAAATGGTATACTCGTTTGAGATTTCTTTGTGGATTGACTGATATTTTCAGTAGAAGGTCAACTATAGGCACTGGGGTCCACATATTTAGTACTTAGGGGCTTGAACAGTTTTGGTTCGATTTAGACAATTTTTGGTCACAAGGTGGCATACTTTAAACGTATTATTCACGCAAAGTTTTACCCCGATATAATTATTGTTGCTTGATTTGCATAGTGGAAAGTGAAAGAATCAAGTGGTATTTAAAATGGTGTCATATGGAAAATAGGCGTGGTTGTAATCCGATTTCGCCCATTTTCGCACTATGACATAGAAACATGAAAAGAACGTTACGCACCGAATTTGGTTAAGCAGATCTCAAGATATGGGTTTTCACCTAAAAGTGGGCTGTGCCACGTCCACTGTCTAATTTTGAACGCGGTTCCTATAAAGTCATCTTATACCATCTCAGAGATAAAATTTAATGTCTCTGGTGTGTTTAGTGCTTGATTTATCGCGCTTTTAGTAGTTTTTAACAGTACCGTTATATGGGGAGTGGGCGGAGTTGCCACCCGATTTCAACTATTTTCACACCGTCAATAGAAGTGCTAAAAACATTTGCTTCCAGTGAATTTTGTTATTATAACATTAGCGGTTTAGGAGATATGCACATTAAACCTATTAGAGGCAGGACCACGCCCACTTTAAAAAAAAAAAATTTTAACTGCAGATGCCCCTCCCTAATGTGATCCTGTGTACCAAATAACAGTCTTGTATCTTATTGCGGAGCTTAGTTATGGCAAGTTATTTGTTTTTGATTATTGGCGTTTTGTGGGCGTGGCAGTGGTCCGATTACGCCCATCTGCAATACCAACCGTCTCACGGTACCATGAAACATGTCTACCAAGTTTCATAAAGATATCTCAATTTTTACTCAAGTTAGAGCTTGCACGGACGGACGGACAGACGGACGGACGGACAGACAGTCACCCGGATTTCAACTCGTCTCTTCATCCTGATCATTTATATATATATAACCCTATATCTAACTCGATTAGTTTTAGGTGATACAAACAACCGTTAGGTGAACAAAACTATTATACTCTGTAGCAACAGGTTGCGAGAGTATAAAAATAAAACATAACTCGACCATCCGTGTTTTTTTTTTTAGATTTCGGTACCTCCAAGCGATAGGCAAATGTTGTTGTCACAGAAATAAAACAAAAAACTATTTATTTTAATTCTCTTGTAATGAAATTAGATAATTTATAACGTATTCTAAATTTATTTTGAGATAGAGTTCTCCCGCAATCCAAATAGTAAAGCGCTACAAGACGCGGGCCGATATATCGGCTCTGGCACTTCTCGCCAGTCGGCCTCCGGCACTCAAAGGGTTAAACATTTCCAAGATGGTGCCAAGATCTTGTGCAAGTGTGCAAAATATTATTCGAAAGTATAAAACGCACAAATCCGTGGAAAATAGGCTAAGGTCTAGGCGTCTAAGGAAGCTTTCTCGGCCAGATGTTAGGTTAATCATCAAAGTGACAAAAAATCCCAAAATAAGTGCTGCAAAGTTAGCCGATAGCATCGCCGCAGCTTCTGCTAAAACTGTACACCGAAAAACTGTAGCAAGAGTCTTACGGGAAAATAGCTATCAAAGCAGAGTTCCACGAAAAAAACCTCTCACTTCGTCTTGAATGTGACAAC